AGCAAAGCAGGTTTCTGGTTGATAATCCCCTCCACGGCAGACCCCCGCTGATGAGATCAGCTTTGGCATCCTCTGGGTGTGCATCCTCTATGCTGGATTGAACCCTAAGAGTGGGGTGCGAGGTCCCCAGCCGGGGGCTCCAGAACTAGGGGGCGAAGGGAATTCCTTACTTTCTCCAAGTCTTTCCATGAAGCCAGAGGCCCAGGCAGGACTGAACTGAGAAATCCTGAATTGCGTTTCCCACTGGGGCTCCCAGATCGCGTCCCAGTCCCGCGCCTCCCCATAGCTGATCAAGACCTCCCGGGGGAAGGGGGCTTCTATATAAATGGGTGAACCCCCAAGAGCTGCTTGGGCAGCCCTGAGCCTAGCAGACCTGAGCAGAGGCCGGAGCACGAGCGATCTCCACTCTCACTCAGCCACCCGCCAGGCGACCTCGGGCAAACCCCCTGCCCCGCTGTGTCCGGGGTCTACTGCCAGGTCCCCGCTAGCTGAAGCAGAGAGCCCTAGAGCCTTTCATGGACTATTGTCCGCACCCCACACCCCAGCGAGCAAAAGGGCAAGCAGGTAAGTTAGCGATGGAGTGCGGAATAGCCAGAGGAGTTTTGCCATCAGCCCTACGCTGAGGTTCCCCTCCGCCCCCCAACACACACCCAATGGGGTTGCTTTGTGTCAGTATGGGGTCTCCCCCTCCTGAAGGATTTGCAGAGCCTCCTGTGGGGAGGGGAAGACAGGAGCAGAATAGGCAAAGGCAGACAGGGACATCATCCAGGTCCTGGTGGAGAGAGGAGGGGACTCCACGGAGGGGACCCCGCGGAGGGGACCTGGAATGGGGGTGGGGATTGGCATACCAGCAAGGGCTCCCCCAGGATAGAGGACACCGAGCAGAGGAGGCCCGCTGATCCTAAGTTCCTTCAAGTTTACCAGGTGGGGGCCGGCAGATGGCAGAATGGTTAAGGTGCTGGATTCTCAGGTAGCTGACTGTGGTTCGAGTCCCAGACCTGGTGGCTTGAGGATCCCTTTGGGCGAGTGTGCCCAAGATTCCGGAAGGAGAAGGGATGGAGGGATTGAGGTGTGGCTATCCCCCCTGGGGGGTAAATTTCTCACTTTCCCTCTCCCTGTTTCTCTCTCTCTCCCCCTCTCCTTGGCAAGTACACATGCCCTAAGGCTAAAACCTCTTAAAAGAAATTAGGGACCAGCAGATGGTGTAATGGTTACATCTCTGGGGACCAGCAGTTAGCGTCATGACTTTGTTGCTGGACTCCCATGTAGTCGACCGCGGTTCGAGTCCCGGACCTGGTGGCTTAAACTCACGCTGGGTGTGTGCGCTTGCATGCCCAAGATCCCAAGAGGAGAATGGAGGAGAAGGGATTGCGGTGTGGCCATCCCCCCTGGGAGGTGTGGGGGGTGATTTCTCGCTTTCTGTCTCTCTCTGTCTTTCTGGCGAATGCACGCACCCTATAAGGAAAACCTCTCTAAAAAAAAAAAAGAGTGTGTGGGGGGGACCAGCAGTTAACATAATGGTTACATCTCTGGGTTCCCACGGTAGGCAATGATGGTTTGAGTCCCGGACCCGGTGTGCCTAAGATTCGAAGAAGAAAATGGAGAAAGGATTGCAGTGTGGTTATCCCCCCTGGGGGGTGATTTCTCGCTTTCTGTCTCTATGTCTCTCTCTGTCTGTCTGGCGAGTGCATGCAGTGAAAATCTCTCCCCCCCCAAAAAAAAAGAAAGAAAAAAAAACTGTGAAGACAGAGGTGAGGGCCCGGAGCTGGTGTGGAGTCTTAGACTTATGGATCCCACATAGCTAACTCTGTGGTTCAAATCCTGGATCTGGTGGCTAGAAAATCACTCTGGGAGTGTGTGCATGTGTGTGCCCCAAATCTCAAGACAAAAGAGGAGAAGGGATTGCGGCGTGGCCATCCTCCTGGGGGGTGACTCCTCCCTCTCCCTCTCTCTGTTTTTCTTTACAGAGTGCACGAGCCCCGTGGCTAACACCTCAAAACAAAACAAAGCAAAAAAGACTAGCCGATGACCCAGCTTGTCCATGCGGAATCAGAGGACAGACTTTCTGTAAAGATCACTGTGTCCTGGGGCTAGCAGGTGGTGTGATGGTTAGGGGCGCTGGACTCCCATATGGGCAAGCCTGGTTCGAGTCTTGGACCTGGTAGCTTGTTTTTTCACTTTCTTTCTCTCTCTCTCTCTCTCTGACGCTGCCCCTCTCTGCTCCAATTAAACTAAATAAAGAAGGAAACAAACAAATAAAGTTAAATAAAGGTATTCTTTTTAAAAAGAATTATTTATTTAATTCCATTTGTTATTGTTACTTTTTGATTTGACGAGAGAGACAGAGAAAGCGAGAAAGTAAGCCACCAGGTCCGGGACTTGAACCATGGTCGGCCATGTGGGAATCCAGCACCCTTATCCACCACACCGCTTGCTATAAAGTCATTCTTTCTGAGAGGTGTTTTTTTTTTTTTTTTTGCTATAGGGCGTGTGCGCTCGCCAGACAGAGAGATAGAAAGCGAGAAATCACCCCCCTCGGGGGATGGCCATGCCGCAATCCCTTCTCCTCATTCTCCTCTCGGGATCTTGGGCACGCACGCACACGCGCCCGGCGTGAGTTTAAGCCACCGGGTCTGGGACTTGAACCGCAGTCGATTATGTGGGAGTCCAGCGACACAGCCATTACGCTAACTGCTGGTCCCCATAAGGTGATTCTTTAAAATAAAAAGAATCACTCTGGCCTGGGACTGTCCACGCCCCCACCCTCCTGAGCAGTTTCCTCCACCGCAACCCCTGACAGGTCTGTCTGGTCCTTACAGGTCTCCAGAGAAAAAGCAAGACAACTGTCACTTCTCTACTGGCCCCACGGTGACCCTGTGGGACTGAAGGGGACAGGCCCCTCGGCAGTGGCTCTGTGAGGACAACCCTGTACCCCGAGGTGAGTGAATCCCAGGTGTGCGTCATCTTTGTCAGCAGGATTGGGTAGAAAAACTATTGACTAGGGACCAGCGGATGGCATAATGGTTACGTTGCTTGGACTCCCACATAGTCGACAGCGGTTTGAGTCCCAGACCCGGTGGTTTGAAACTCATGCCTGCGGTGTGTGTGCATTGTGTGTGTGCTCAAGATCTCTAATGAAGGAGAAGGGATTGTGGTGTAGCCATCCCCCCTGGGGGGTGATTTCTTGCTTTCTGTCTCTGTCTCTCTGGTGAATGCATGCCCCCTATAGCAAAAATCTCCCTCAAAAAAAAAATAATAAATAAAAACAGAGGGGCCGGCAGGTGGTGTGGTGGTTAAGGTGGCTGGATTTCCACATGACTGACTGTGATTCGAGTCCTGGAAGTGACAGCTTGGTTTTTCACTTTCCTTCTCTCTCTCTCTCTCTCTGGTCAGTTTCAAAAAAAAAAAAATAGGGACCAGCAGTTAGCGTAATGGCTATGTCGCTGGGCTCCCATGTAGCTGACTGTGGTTCAAGTCCCGGACCCGGTGGCTTAAACTCACGCCGGGCGCGTGTGCGTGTGTGCTCAAGATCCCGAGAGGAGAATGGAGGAGAAGGGATTGCGGCGTGGCCATCCCCCCCGGGAGGTGTTGTCTCTTTTGCTGTCTCTCTGTCTCTCTCTGTCTGTTTGGCGAGCGCATGTGCCCTATAGCAAAAACCTCTCCAAAAAAAAGAAAAAAGAAAAAGATTCTCCCGTAGCTGCCCAGGAGAGCAGGGGCCATCGGGACAGGAGTGCAAGTGGTGTGAGAGGCAGAGTCGGGGTTGGGGAGTTGTCTGGTGGTATCTCGGGCGGGGTCCCAGGGACGAAGAGAAGTGGGTAGATTCTAGGACCAGGCTGGAGATGGAGGAGGAACCAGATTTTGGAATAATGGTGAGAAAACATAATCAGGAGAGAAGAAAAGATCCATGGTGGGCCTGGCAGGTGATGTGGTTAAAGGCGCTGGACTCCCACATGGCTGACCACGGTTCGAGTCCCGGGCCTGGTGGCTTGCTTTCTCACTTCCCTCTCTCTCTCTCTCTCTGTCTCTCTGTTCAAACTAGAAGATAATAGTAATAATAAATAAAGTAAATACAAAATAATTATTTTTTAAAAAAGGAAAAGACCCGTTGAGTCTGAAGACTGGACCTTTGAGGAGAGGCTTTTAAAATTTATTTATTTACTTAATAATTGTATTTGTTATTATTATTATTTTTAAAATTTGAGCAGAGAGAGACAGAGAGGGAGAGAAAGGGAAGGCGAGGGACCAGCAGTTAGCGTCATGGCTGTGTCGCTGGACTCCCACGTAGTCGACTGTGGTTCGAGTCCCGGACCCGGTGGTTTAAACTCACGCCGGGTGCGTGTGCGTGCATGCCCAAGATCCTGAGAGCAGAATGGAGGAGAAGGGATTGCGGCGTGGCCATCCCCCCTGGGGGGTGATTTCTTGCTTTCTGTCTCTCTGTCTCTCTCTGTCTGTCTGGAGAGCGCACGCGACCTATAGCAAAAACCTCTCCAAAAAAAAGAAGAAGGAAAAAAAAAAACGGAATAAAGAGGAAAAAAAAAAGAAAGGGAAGGTGAGAAAGCAAGCTGCCAGGCCTGGGACTTGAACCATGGTTGCTATGTAGGATCCAGCACCTCTAACCACCACATCACCTGCTGGCCCCCCCCTCTTTTTAAAACATATTTAGTTATTGGGGTCCCAGCAGGTGGCGGGGTGGTTAAAGACACTGGACTCCCACATGGCTGACTGTGGTTCGAATCCCGGACCAGGCGGCTTGCTTTCTCACTTTCCTTTTCCCTCTCTCTCTCTCTGTCAAATTAAAAAAATAATAATAACAAATGGAAATAAATAAATAAATAAATAGATAATAAGCAATTATTTGGAAAAAATATAATTTATTGGGGCCAGCAGACGGCATTAGCAGTTACGTTGCTAATTCACCAGAGCGACACAGAGAGCCATAGAGAGGGAAAGTGAGAAAGCAAGCTGCCAGGTCTGGGACTCGAACCACAGTCAGCCATGTTGGAGTTCAGCTCCTTAACTACCATGTCAACTGCTGGCTCTGAGGAGGTGCTTCTCCTTTTTTTTTTTTTTTTTTTA